CTCAAAGTATACCTAGACACAGGAGAACTATTGTCGTGAAAGTGTTGTACAATCGATTACGAATTTAGATTGCAGAGAGTTTGTTCTGAGCGCTAAAGGCACTCAGGATAGAGCACATTTTGCTTTATTCTAACAGTAATCACTAGATACTTGTTGCAACCGTCTACACTACAGCCCCACAAGACCACGATTTCCAATCAGAGGGCAGTGCAAACTGAGACTATCCTTGTCCACCCATAGCAACCGTTCATTGGCTAGGGTATCACTTTCAACTTCTCGATTTGTGATCCACACAAAGATCCATTGCCGATCCGATTCCCATTTTTCATGTCGCTTCAGAGAAGCACCCAATTTTTCAATCTCTTGGTTCATATGCGATACACGAACTTTTGAAGAAGAGGACTCTGGGTCACTGTGTTTATATTGCAAAAAGATTGTCAGCCTTTCGTATCCAACATCTAAGGTGACATACCCGTCGATGATGGGTGTGCCCGTATGCGATTGATGCACATGCTCTCGATCCATCACATCAACGTCGATCACACTTGATACACTAGCTGGGATAGCTCTTGGTATGCACTGCGCTGGGTCAATTTTGTAGTGAGTAGCAGTAAAATTAAGTGGCAGGTGTAAAGGTTTGAACAAGTATGCATTGTCCGAAGGTTTCATGTTCCTTAGATAAGTACCCAGAGTGGCCCCTTGAAAATGCTCCTTCTCTTTGATCATCGCTGCCAATACAGCTGCCAAGTAGAGTAAGTGAACACTTTCAAAATTCCGCCATGTCCATTTGTCTGTCTTTGATGGTGCTTTCACAAGAAGGGAGTTGATCATACTATTCTCGGCGTTGAACTTGCTAACTAGTGCAGGGGCAAGACGAATCTCACCTTCCTTGAGGAAAATTGTTCCTCCGTCCAAAGCGTCTTGCACAGTGTAGTTGCCGTCCTTCACAAGTTCCATTGAAGGAAAAACCTTCCGTCTTGCAAGGTAAGCAGAGAAGATGGACTCCATGCGCTTGTCCCAGCCCTTTTGTATGTAGCTTGCTGTTTCATGGTGAAGATGTTGCACGACTGAGCAGGTATCTTTATCAAAGTCATACTGGCAGGTATATACGACCAGCCCCGGGAGACCTCCCGTGTCTGCCAAAGCCACTCGGAACAGTGAATCCTGCAAAATCATCTCGACCTTGTCCTGCTCAAATTTTCCGGTTGCAAGTAGATAATTCTTGGCCAACTGCGCCCTATGCTCGAAATTCAATACAGGCAAAGGCACATCCCTAACCTTGTAGCTACTAATCCCGGAAAATTTTGCATCAGTCTCCGAAGTACCAGTCGTTATTGGAACAAAAAATACCCTTCCAGCACGATGCCATCCGCTAATCAATGACATTCCTGATGTTGCAAGAGACCCAATCAATTGCAGCATATCCAAAAAGTAACCCCGGCCATTGTCACCTGAAAATGCTTCGCATGTTCATCAATGTGAATCACAACCGGAACTATTCGCTTTTGTCCTTCAGGAAATGTTGACAGTACATCGTCAAGGATCTTCTTCATGGCTTCCTCGTGGCTAATTCGCTGCAAGATCATCGTGTCAAAATAAGATATCATCATACGAGCCCCAAGTGACTCGCTTGGTGGAAGATTTGGGCTGTCGAACTGTCTGTTGAACCTTGCCAAATTCAGAAAATCAATTTTCAAGTACACTACATCTGTGAATCTATGTTCCTTCTCGGAATCGCAGAAGTTCTTCACAATGTCAGGAACCTCAATGCCCGTCCTCGTTTTCCCGCTTCGCACATGGCCTGTGGCAACCAAAAAGGCAAAATCGCCATGATCTGTTGACATACGCTGACCAAAGTTCCGTCGAACAACTCCTTCTACTTGATTTTTCGCTTCTTCCCTACCCACCCACCCACTCAGATTCTCGTGTTCTCCTCTTATCGTTATCCGTCGCATTTCTAAATTGCCTTGATTGCAAATGACAAGATCAAATCGGAAGGGCATGAACGTCATTGGTTATCATGTGAAATGGAAATATTTCATCATTGGTCATGAGATTTTCAAGTGTTGAGATTTGGCAAAAGAACCGGAGGAAGAAGATTATCAGAGAGGAGTACGATCTCACCTTGTCTCGCGCTGACAGGAACCATACGATCATTGGTTTCGGACGATACCGTTTGAGATCGAGCTTGCTCCTTTGTTCTCTTGTAGTACTCCTTCAAGACGTTGGCGCACAGGATAGAAAGAAAACGATCCAAATCACTCTCACTTTCAATTTTCAGTCGTTCTTGCTGATGCTTGAGAAAATTCAATGACGTTCCAGCAAGGGCTGTGGCAGTCTTGAAAGCACTCTTTGCTTCTGAGATCATGTCTTGGTTTCCCTGAAAAGCAGCCACGACCGCATCACATATCACATCTTGACGAAAATTGACCACTTGCGCATCAGGAAACTCCTTTGCCTTCCCAATTATTGTCAGATACTTTTTGAGAGTCTCATTGTCCACCTCTGACCATCGCTGCAGTAAAGAGTCCTTCACCAGCATTTCATATGCTGTAGATTCGTTTTCTTCTTCATTTCCATGTTCACTATTAGCCATTTCCGTATCTTCGTTTGATGTGCGACTACTAGATGCTTTGAGTTCAGATCCAATCATTATCGCATCAGCATCGGCTTTCGCACGTTTTGCTTTTCGGTCTAGTGTGAGAATGCATGTTATGATTAGATTTGAAATCCGATTTGCTTGCGTCTACCAGTTTCTACATACGGTACGTGACGGGAGCTGGTGCCATATCCAGACTCAAAGCTGTAGCGTGTACAGCCTTGATTACTTGAGAATAGGGGTTGTCAATGAACCCAACCCAACTATTTTTGGTTTATTTTTATTGACCAATAGAAGGGCAGTATTTTTCCCGATATTTGACCACCCCCTTTGAAGCCACGAACCAACTATTTTTGGGGAA